GACGTGAATTGCAAAGAAGACTTTTGCCATTTTACATTTTTGCATTAGGATTGTCGGTGAGGCAAATTTGGATTTTGGCATTACACTTGATTACGTTACTCATTTTCATGTATAGTAGGTTCTGAACCTATCAGCAAATCGTAAAATTGAGATTTTCTCAGAACCATCCACTTGATTACATGCAGTGATCCGCAATTTTCAACTTTCCATTTCTGCCAAAGATGACTGCCTCATGTGCCCACTCTTCCCCGTCAGGCAGGCTAAAATCGTTTTGTTACTATCTATGGCATTTGTGCGCCAGTGTCTACATGCCAGACTTTGGCATTTTTGCTCGTTTGTCAAAGCGTCTTCATTTTGCCGACTTCATGTACCCGTCCGACAGGACAGGCCGGTTGCAAGAATTAGCCTGAAGGAGGATAATGTCTTGCCAGAGTGTCTGTGCGCACCATGCGCAAGAATGCGACCAAAATATGCTGCTGGAGTTATGCAGTCAATATCACCGAAAATATGCCCATGGTTCAGTCTTTCTGGAAGCCGATTGGCCAGATTTTCCGGCACAGAATGGTGTACAATTGTTCCTGCTCCGTTGGGGTTGAGGGTAAGTCAAGCCCGATCGATCCAGCCATGATGCCGTAGATTTGGTTGCCTACTTATGGACATATGCAGGCGCACAAATCGCCATGGCTACATGAATGCGTACAGACACAATCTCGCCTACAGCTAGAGGCGTTTTCGACCAGACGGCTCTACAAGTGTCTTGACAACCAGCTGAACAGTTATGCCCCTTGTGTCGTAGTCTTGGCTGCCTAAGCGACGGCCGACGATCCTGTCTACCATGAGGCAGCCTGTATCTGTTTCAGGAACCGCTGCCTCTCAGAAGACATTTGCCTGTAAGACCTAAGCCTGAACACTTCTGCGTATTCGGTGTGAGTATGTTTCGAGGCTGTCAGTAATTCTTGATTAGAAAGATGATCACTCGTCATCGGTGTTCGAGGTGTTTGAAGGACTGATTGTGGAGTTTCTTCCAAAACGAAATGATTAGGTCTCACGATGCCAGTGAATAGAGGCTATTTTTGCCTCCCAATGGTATTTTCTTTCAGGCTGAACTGTAGCTTCGACTTCGCCTCAGCTCAGCTCAGCTCAGCTCTCGCATCTCCAAAGCGATCCGAAACCGAAGTGTTTCCGTTGTGGCATCACAATTTCCAGTCCACTGCACAGCCACGGGTGTCAGTCGGTGTCACAGGGCGTCATAGTGTGAGTGTTTATGAGGGAAACATTTATTTCCTATTGCAATCGACGACACTGCGAATAGTGGATTTGAACATGTTTCGAAGCCATCCGTGACTAATGAACTAGAAGCTAGTCGCTGTAGAGGAATTAAGGAAGGATTGTTGAATTTTGCCACAACCACATGAGTAGACCTTCCCTCTCGTAGACTAAGTCGACTAGAGTGTGATAATGACATAAAACAGTCGAAAATCGAAATTCAATAAG